CAGGTGAAAAGGAGGAACCCAGACCCAGACCAGTGGTCATTCCATATGTTGAGGGAGTATCAGAGAAACTGAGACGTTTATTTTCTAAACATAATGTCCCAGTGGCTTTTAAACCCCAAAATACATTATGGCAAAGACTGGTTCATCCCAAAGATCCAGTCCCCCGGCACAAACAGAGCAATGTTGTGTATGCTGTTCAGTGTCAGGAGGGCTGTGATCAGTCCTACATTGGGGAAACAAAACGGCCACTGGCCAAAAGGATGGCCCAGCACAGAAGATCAACATCATCAGGCCAGGACTCTGCGGTCTGCGCTCGTCTCCAGGCCAGCGGTCACTCTTTCAGGGATGGGGGTGTTCGCATCCTGGACAGAGAGGAGCGATGGTTTGAGAGAGGAGTAAAGGAGGCCATCTTTGTGAATCATCCATCATTAAACAGGGGTGGAGGCCTCCGGGTTCAACTGTCCCCCTCTTACAATGCTGTGATTGCTAGTATCACTCAGCCCTCTGTGAACAGTAAAAAGCCATCAGTGTGCTAATGATCCATTGTTAGGCTGATGGTCCTTCTTGAGCATGTGATCCGCTGGTTTTGGTTGTCAGCAGCAAAGCTGGTTGATCCACTCTGAGACGGTGCTATTTAAGAGACTGAGCTGAATACAGCTCCTCAGACTGAGGAAGTCTCTCGGATGAGAGACGAAACGTTTTGTTGTGGACCGTTACCACGTCGTGTTCAAGACAGCTGAGACATCACCCTCAGTATAAAAGATTTATTTGACAAACAGGGTTACAGGTATTCAGAGACAAATAATTACATTTGTAAAATATATGCATATATTTGGAGCATTAAAAGAACGAACCGTCTCGGTCTGGTCTTCCCCGGAAATGCTCGCTGGGCGTGTGTCATTTCCGGCTTTTATCAAAGTTTGAGAAGGCTAGCTCTTCTGATTGGTTTAGCCCTTCGGCTGCCATGGTTACTGGTCTAGCCCGCCCCCTGAAGGACGTTAGGTTCTACATTCCAGAGATAAGAAGTTTATGTCTTACTGAAATCGGTTCTTTATTTTAGCTCTGTCTCAGTTTAACTTGATTATACCTTAGTGATACCAAATGATCTTGAGTTAAAGTTATTTTCTTTCTAGGAATATTAATAACTATTAATTATTAACTAACTCATGTTTAGGTGTTCTTAATTGATCCCTCTGACTTATAGAGAACCTGAGGGATTTTATTTAGTCAATCTACATTGTCTAAATTAAAGAAATGTGTTCTAGCTTTATTCTGCTATCTGGCATGATTTGATTGCTTGTAATATATCAAATGTGAACTTGTAAAATTATCATTAGCTGATATAAGATTATATGTAAAGGTAAAATAGTTAGAATTAATAAACATTTTCTATAAATATAGTTCAACCCTGGAAGAAAGACACACACACACACACACTTTGTATAACATGACATTTGACTGCTTGATAGGAAATATAAAAAGGTATAAAAATATGAAATCCAACAGTTTCTACATTTTTTGTTTATTTTTCTTTGTTTCGTTTTTTTGAATGTCCAGAGGACCAGATTTAACTTTTTTAGATTTTTCTACCTGGATTATTGAGCATGCATCAGGATACAGTCCATTTACCATTTACCGTTCAACTCCAAAACTTGCGCTCGTGGCCAACTGGACGGACTTCAGTCCAAGCAGGTCTCTCAGAGCCTCTGATGTTTTTAATACAGAGGGGCTCCGTTGCCAGGCAACACAGCTCTGGCTCCTTTAAAAGATCATCCACTTGCGCACCTCTCCTGATAGCTGGGCGCATGAGAGCAGTGTGAGCACCAGACGGCTTTCAGCTTTCTGACACACGCGCGCTATGGACTAAAGTGCTGGAGAGAAGAAGCAAGTGTGTGCACCCTCCAGACAGCTTGTGTCTCTGACCTACTTTAAAAACATTTTATTATTTTTACTTTTGTTTTTATTTATTTGGACTGAAAGCAGCAGCTCGTACACCATGAAGAACTTTGTCTGCCTGTCGGTCTTCATGTGTCTCTGCGTCCTCACTCAAGTGTTCTGTGAGGACACGGAGCCAAAGGAAGGACTGGAGTTCTGGACCAGCAGGAACCAGATCCAGGACCCCGCGGTGAGATCTGCTTTTCTCCTTCTTCTGTCTGAAAAGATTCAAGAGCAAAACAAAAACAGAAAAATCTAATCAAGTTATAGATTTCTAATATTTCAGTCATCTGAGAAGAACCATACTTTTCCATAAACAACTGTATGTATACATACATACACACACACATATAAATATACACACATAAATATATATATATATATATATATATATATATATATATATATAT